AAATCTGTCCTCACTAAACCCCACCCACCCTCTGAATGTTCCCCCACCAAACCCCACCCACCTTCTTAATCCACCCTGAAAAACCCCACCCACATTCCAAACCTTCCCCCAAACACTGCACACCTGCTATACCTGCCCCCACTAAACCCGCCTACCTACCAAACCTGTCGTTTTCGTATAAAATTGACATCGTTTTATAAGCCAGTAACCCGGCGCTCTGTGTCTGCAGCTCAGTTTCCATTTACAGACTGTACAGACTGACAGTGATGGACCTTCAATAATGTTTACATACATCATCAAACCCTTATTTCAGAATTCAGTCTTCTGTGGTCTGGGCTCTTTAGGGGAGCTGTTGAGCTGGTGAAGAGGGTCTCTGGGGGTCTCTGGGAGGGTTTGGTGCTGATGTGATGAGAGGTTCTGTTTACTGAGGAAACAAACAGCTCTGATTCACACAGACCTGATCTGATGAGCTGAAGATCTGCTGTTTGGACAGACGTTAGCAGCAGCTTCATCGCACTCAGAAACGCAGCTCACACCCACAGATCAGACAGCATTAGTGCTGAATGCTCCGTCTGATTGACAGGTGTGTTATTATGATAACAGCATGATTTATCACAGTAACTGTATCACTACGCTGCGCAGTTCGGCTGCAGCTACACGTTACTAACATTCCACTTCAGCTCAAACAGAAACAGAACACGTTCAGTTTAGACAGCTTCATCCGGAAACATGACGGAGCTGAGCTGATACTCAGTGTTGTGGCTCTGTAACACTTATTGTGGCAGAAGGAACAGATAAAATTACATTTGATACAGGATGATTTTACTGAACTCAATCAGAGTCAGAGCTGAAACACATTTTCTTTTAACTGGTCTTGGACTTTAGACTAAAACTCTTTTGCTCTCAGTGACTCTAAACCTTAATTATGATTATTTTATTAAGACAAATGATTAAACTTTCCAAAACAATCATAATTCATAACCCAAACTTTACCAAATGTATCAGTAGTGACTGTTTCACTAGTGACTGTTTCAGTAGTGTCTGTTTCAGTAGTGACTGTCTCAGCAGTGACTGTGTCAGTAGTGTCTGTTTCAGTAGTGTCTGTTTTTGAGCTCAGAAACTCAGCCAGTACAGACCAGCAAACACAGCTTTGAACAGCTGTTCACACAGAAAATCATCATATTTTACATTAAAACACTAAAAAGTGCTGAACTGCAGAAAATATGGCGATTCTTAATGTTCCACACTGATTTTCAGACTTTGGGACTCATTTACTTCAAAACAATGGGATCTAACTGCTCACCATGTGGCCATGAGGGACGGGGAGGCAGCCTCACTTCCTGCTCTAAAATGCAGGGGCGTGGCTAAAATAAGACCCCGCCCACAGACTTAAACTCTGTGTTTTGGTAATGACATGAGCATTTTTTGGAACCACATCATTAAACCACCTTCATCTCAATGATAACCTTCTTGAGGACGTTTTCCTTTGCGAATTTGGAGAAGAGCGTTTGTCGCTGTGCCGTCGGTCGTTTGTGTTTGTTGTCACTTCTGTGAAAAAAGTGTTTTGCATAATTTTTGGACTCCAGTCCAAAATTCAGAATATACACGTACACTTTAGCATTTTTTAAAACTTGTTTATCTTTGTAGTTTCTGCTGAACAGATCACTGACCATTCAACATTCCAAATAATTATTTAAAATTTTATCTTTAAAAAGAAACTCATTGTAAATCTTAATCTTTCAACTTTACTTTAAAAGAAATCAAATAAATCTTTAAAAATATTGAAAAAAAATATTATTTTCAGAAGAGTAAATTTAGGGGTTTGGGGTCAGTAGAAGAACCCTGTAAATGATGACTTTGTATATATTTAGTTTATTACTGTCTATTGATGCCTTGAATTTAAATAGATCAGTACAGAACGCTTGTTAATAAGTAATAAGCTGTCATGACCATGAAATATCAGCTGACAATTAATTGGCATATTAATAATTAGAATTAATGATATAATTGTCTATTCTTGTTCGCAACCATTAAAATACACACCTGAAATTGCAGTGTTTATGTAGAACACTCTTAAGATGGTTCTTCAGGGGTTCTTTAGAAAAGAAAATGATTGTATATGAAACCATGAACACTCAAACTGATGAAGAATGTGCTGGAAATGATGGTGTATAGACGCCTTTTGAAAACCTTTTTGGTTCTACATAGCACTGTTCTTCTATTGTTCTTATGTCAATCAAGCTTGTATACAACAGCAGAACCCTTTTTGGTGCTGTATAGAACCATCTACAACACATTCTCCATCAATCTGAAGAACCATTTAAGCATGCAAAGCGTTCTTTGAGTGTTCATAGTTATTTGGATTGCACCATTGTCTTTATAGAACCATTGAACCATAAATAGAACCATTGTCTTTACTAAAGAACTCCTGAAGAACCATATTTTAAGTGTGAGCTAACACTGGCTGTATTAAAACTTTAGCTTTCTGTTAGCATAAATGCTAAAAAACTTTAACAGTAGATAAACATCAAACAAACTCAGAACTTTTCTTTGTTTTCGTGAGACCCAGGATGAGTTTCAGTGAAGACGTTTACACTTTATTTACACCGGTCAGGCATAACATTCTGACCACCTCCTTGTTTCTCTGCTCATTGTCCATTTTATCAGCTCCACTTACTATATAGGTGCACTTTGTAGTTCTACAGTTACAGACTGTAGTCCATCTGTTTCTCTGATACTTTGTTAGCCCCCTTTTACCCTGTTCTTCAGTGGTCAGGACCCCCATGGACCCTCACAGAGCAGGTACTATTTGGGTGGTGGGTCATTCTCAGCACTGCTGTGTCTGATCCACTCACACCAGCACAACACACACTAACACACCACCACCACATCAGCGTTACTGCAGTGCTGAGAATGATCCAGATGTATGCAGAGAAACAGATGGACTACAGTCTGTAACTGTAGAACTACAAAGTGCACCTATATAGTAAGTGGAGCTGATAAAATGGACGATGAGCAGAGAAACGAGGAGGTGGTCAGAATGTTACGCCTAATCGATGTATTTACACACTCAATCAGTATTTTGCTGGTTGCAGCGTTAAACAGTCGTGAATTCTGACAGCTGTGTGAAGTGACTGCAGTCATCTTAAATAACTGTGATTAGGCGATTATGTAATAACTGAGGGGCTCAGACTGCAGTATGAACTAATTCATCATCACTGCACTCGGAGCAAAACCTCGTATCTCCATTTTTGTCGTTTTCCAGTTTTTGACATAATTTAAAAGTACCTCTTGTCCTTTACATTGTGTGTAAATATCATGATAAATGGACCAAAAGAAACGGCCCAAAATTACTTGGACAAATGTCTGGTTCCATTGACTTACATTAAAAGTAAAGTATGTTTTTTCCTTCTCCTGTAAAGTTACCATTTTGGAGATACGAGGTTTTGTTCCGACAGCCGTGATGTTCTCTGTTTCCGCTGTATGTTCTGGTCTGAGGACATTCAGATTAAGGCAGAGATGAGGATTTGGGTTCTGCTAAATGGTCAGAGGCCTCAGTACAGTCTGACCCGTGTGAAGAGGAAGTCCAGGCCCGAGGCTGTGTGTCTGCGCTCGTCTGGGTCGTTAGACCGGCGTGTGAACAGAGTGAGACCTGCTTGGAAGGATCTGAATGTGGGTCCGTTGGAGCTGATAGAGTCTGTATTTATAACTCCGACTCTCTGGTGGCCGATTAAATGGACACCGAGGGATGTTAAACATGCACGGCTGCTTTTTCTCTCCGCTGTCCAGCCTTATCTCTCCCTCTGACCGCTCTGCTGTTCCTCCTTTTCTGGGATGGAGTTTCTGTGTTTACAGAGACGAGAGCCGGCTGAGAGTCCAGATCGTTTCCAAAACCGCTCTAAGTGGGTCTGGCAGCTTGTTTAGCTGCAGGCTCTTAGCCGTGTAGTGGTTTCCAGTGTTTGTTTGACCCTCGGTGCGGTCAGACTGCTCCGCTTTCAGTCAGCCAAGCGAGACTTGGGACAATAACACAAAGAAAGAAAAAGGCCTTTAATAATAATCAGACTGTCACTGCTTTTCCTATCAGGGGTCAGCTGTAACAGACTGAGGGGCTCATTAGAGCTGAAAGGCTGGACAATTAATCAATATTTTATTTTCAGTTATAATTTTGGATTCTAACGATTATGAAAACAAGACGAGATAAAGTGATGAACGTGTCACATTCTGATCGCAGTGCTGCTCTTATTTTCTCTAGATCTTTTTTCATTTCAGTAGATGTGTGATGTCTCTAAAGTCAGTGAGTGATCAGTTAAATAATTGTGATCTCATTATTGACCAAATTAATCGTGATTATGATTTTTGCCACAATCGAGTGGCCCTACAGCTGGCTAGTCGTTTGGTAAATCAATGCAAAACACAACAAATTCAGTCTACTTCTGTTATCGAGGATGGATTACTGACTGGGCCATTCCAGCCAGTGTCCAGGGGCCTCTGGCTGCCAGGGGCCTCTCAGTGTGAAATGTGGAGTGAAGAACCAAAAGCTTTTTACATCATTTTTAGACTGCTGTCAAAATTCAAGCAATAAAAGAAGCAAAACTATTTCTCTTATACATTTTATCTCATTTTAAACTTTTTAAAACCTGTTTACCTTTATAGGCTCTGCTGAACAGATCACTGACCATTAACAGTCCAGTCCCAATCTGGCAACCTCGACTGAAAAACAAATGCTTGTGAGATAGCAGTTGTATTAGAAGCCACAGAGTGGACAGACTTTGATATGAATTTTATCCACCATCTTTATTGGTCACTTTTTCCACTTAGCTTATCAAAAATGCAGTTTTGGTGACGTTTTCCTCGAAGCTCTTTGTTTTGTGCTGTTCTGACTCTGCTGTTCTCGTTTGTCTGGTACTGTGAATCTCCTGAACATGTTAGTATTGCTAATAATCAATAATGTCCAGTCAGGCTGTGTTTATGTTCCGACTGTACTGTTGCTCTGTGTTCAGGGTTCTCCAATGGTGCCGGAGGGGAACCGGGAGGGTTTGACCGAAGCTGCGCTGAACCGCTTTAACACCGAACGTCCGGCGGCCCACGGCGGCCCTGCTCCTACACCACCCGCCCCGCCCACCACAGCGCCCTCCAGTGGAACCTCCGCCGCTGCCTCGTTCTTCGCCAGGTCAGATCCTCGAGTTTTCACTCTGTGTTTTAAATCGATTCGTCTGTGTCTGAATATTTTTAGTTTTAGCACTGCAGCTACAAAGCTAACAAACAGTGGAAGCCCACCAGTTAGCACTGTGTACAGTGTTTAGCTATGCTAATGTACTTTAATCCATATTCATAGATAACAGTGTGGGTTAAGCCTGTTTTAGCTGGATTAGTTTAATCTGGGGAGCTGCTGTAATCTGAGTGATTACTGATGAAATCTGTGATTTTAACCCAGTATGAATCTGTAATGTCTGTGTTTTTACAGTCTGATCAGTAATAAATCCAGAGTGAACTTCCTCCTGTAACAGGCTGAACTCAGAGCTCCTCAGTAACAGCCGCCCTGCTCCAATCAGCATCACAGAGATGTAACAACAAACCTGCCACTCACATTTTTTCTTTTTTTGTGACCTGAAGACGAGAGTAACAGTTAAAATGGAGCTCGATTTGACCCAGTTCCTTAATCCTCACGTTCGAGACACGGCTGCTGATATCTAGAACGTTTTTGGCAGTGGCTGAATTACAAGAAGGAAAATGAAATATGTCAAACGTTCCTCTCTCAAGGCAGTGTGACTTCAGTGCTGTTGTGCCACAGTGTCTAAGTTTCCCTTTCACAGCACTTCAACCAAAAGCGGCTTTAATGGAAGGACATTAGTGACACGGTTCGGTGTGAATTCTCTCCCGTACGCTCTGAATATGCACCACCATGATGGCGTCCAGTGTTGTGGTTTGGGTTTATTTTTGGCAGCAAGTGCTGACGTAAACATCCACGCGATGATGTTTGGATCCGGGTATGAATCAGCCAATCAAATCACACACATATTACATCACCAACCTCCTCTGCTAAAGATGACCACCAACAGGACTTTAGAGTGTCAGAAACCACGTAATCAAGTTTATTTTTTATTATTATAATATTAATAATTTTAATTAATAAATAAATTTTATTATTGTTTATTATAGAGATTACTGAACAACTCCACATGCTTTGAGGTGAGTGATGATTCAGGCATGATGCTAACTGGGGGGGTAAAAGCTTCCACTATTCGTTAGCTACATTAGCTCCAGTGCTAAAACACGTCTTGCCTGATTGAGCACATTTGAGGTAATGATGATTTGATATTTCACCGAATTATCACCTCAGTCTTCTTTAAGTGTTCGTAAAGCTGCGTGTAAGGCAAGTGTTCCCTGGAGCTGTGGGTTTGGAGTGATGTGTGCTGGAACGCAGACAGAGCAGTGAAGATGAAGATGATGACGGTGATGATGATGATTCAGTGTTCGTCCTGATGTTGGCTCTGAGTCTCGTTGTTCGGGCTCTGAGTGAGTAACGTGCAGTCTGGCTTTGGGGGACTCTGTGATATTGCAGAGGAGAAAAGAGTGACCGGACGAGACAGCAGAGGGTTTAAAGTGAATTTTATACGCTGTAATGATTTCTCTGCTCTCAGTGAAGTGCAGGACTCCCCTCAGCTACACTCTGACTGCTCTCTGTTTCTGCTGCTCATACCGTGTGTTGGTCATTTTGTGTGTTTTCTTTGTTTTGGGGGTCTGGTGTGGCATTGCCCTCCACAGAAATTCCACTGACCACCATGGGAGTCCCCCACTGAAGCTGGTAGTGGATTGGGTATTTGGTTGTCAGTACTGGATGCTACAAAGCAATTTTAACCTATTTTTTAGACATTTGTTTTGTGTCATTATGTAGTGGATTTTTTGAAAATGTATTTCACACCATGTTCATCATGTTTAGCTCCCTGTGGCAAAATGAATGCTGATTCAGAAAGTTGTTGTTTTGATCTTAATGGCTTTGACCTTTATGAGCTTAACGAGCTTTATGACCTTTCTGAAGGTCACCATGTCACTAAAGTAGAAACAACCTAATTGATGATGTAACAGATGATGGTGCTGATGCCGTGAGGATGATGGAGCTGATGCTGTGAGGGTGATGGTGCTGATCTGAGGATGATGGTGCTGATGCTGTGAGGATGATGGAGCTGATGCTGTGAGGGTGATGGTGCTGATCTGAGGATGATGGTGCTGATGCTGTGAGGATGATGGAGCTGATGCTGTAACAGATGATGGTGCTGATGCCGTGAGGATGATGGTGCTGATGCTGTGAGGATGATGGAGCTGATGCTGTGAGGATGATGGAGCTGATGCTGTGAGGATGATGGTGCTGATGCTGTGAGGATGATGGTGCTGATGCTGTGAGGATGATGGAGCTGATGTGAGGATGATGGTGCTGATGCTGTGAGGATGATGGTGCTGATGGTGTGAGGATGATGGAGATGATGCTGTGAGGATGATGGAGATGATGCTGTGAGGATGATGATGGAGATGATGCTGTGAGGATGATGGAGCTGATGCTGTGAGGATGATGGAGCTGATGGTGTGAGGATGATGGAGATGAGGCTGTGAGGATGATGGAGCTGATGGTGTGAGGATGATGGAGATGATGCTGTGAGGATGATGGAGCTGATGCTGTGAGGATGATGGAGCTGATGCTGTGAGGATGATGGAGATGATGCTGTGAGGATGATGGAGCTGATGCTGTGATGATGATGGTGCTGATGATGTAACAGATGATGGTGCTGATGTGAGGATGATGATGGTGCTGATGCTGTGAGGATGATCAATCAGTCAATCAATCAACCTTTATTTAAACTCAGAATACATTGAGGGAATACAGGAAACAGGGGTTGAGAAGTTGTACAGTAAAAAAAAAAAAAATCAAATGCTATAATTAAATAATAAAAACCACAAAAGTAAAACGTAATAATAAGAAGATTAATAAGAAGATACCCATAAACTGTTAAATCAATAAATGATTAAAATTACAATATAGCAACTTATCAAGTAACAGAGCAGATAAGGATAAAATAAATAAAAACATAAATTAATGAAATAAAAGAAATAGATGTAAGACAATAAATTGATGATAATAAAATAAATAAAAAGAACACTAATAAACGAAATAGAAAGAATAAAAAGAATGATAAAAAGTAAAGAGATAAAAGTACAAAAGTAAAAAAGTAAAAACAATAGCTAAGACATAGCTAAAACAAACCAAAAAGTAAATTAAAAATTAAGTAAAATCAAGTAAAGCAGGTGCTGATGCTGTGAGGATGATGATGGAGCTGATGCTGTGAGGATGATGATGGAGCTGATGCTGTGAGGATGATGGTACTGATGGTGTGAGGATGATGGTGCTGATGGTGTGAGGATGATGGTGCTGATGTTGCGAGGATGATGGCGCTGATGCTGTGAGGATGATGATGGAGCTGATGCTGAGAGGATGATGGAGCTGATGCTGTGAGGATGATGGAGCTGATGCTGAGAGGATGATGGAGCTGAAGCTGTGAGGATGATGGTACTGATGCTGTGAGGATGATGGTGCTGATGCTGTGAGGATGCTGATGGTGCTGATGGTGTGAGGATGATGGTGCTGATTCTGTAAGGATGATGATGGTGCTGATGCTGTGAGGATGATGGTACTGATGGTGTGAGGATGATGGTGCTGATGTTGTGGGGATGATGATGATAATGCAGTGAGGATGATAATTATACTTATTCTGTGTGGATGATGCTGATGTTGGAGGAGGTTGATGGAGCTGATACTGTGAGGATGATGGTACTGATGGTGTGAGGATGATGGTGCTGATGCTGTGAGGGTGATGATGATGTTGGAGGAGGATGATGGTGCTGATGCTGTGAGGACAATGGTGCTGATGCTGTGAGGGTGATGATGATGTCGGAGGAGGATGATGGTGTTGATGCTGCGGGGATGATGGTGCTGATGCTGTGAGGACGATGGTGCTGATGCTGTGAGGGTGATGGTGATGTTGGAGGAGGATGGATGGTGTGCTGGTGAAAGCTGCACTGCTGGGAGAGCCTCATAAATCACTGAGTTTTATTTATAACTGTAGCTGCAGCGGTGAAGCCCATCACTTCATCCTCCACACACACACTCACACTCACATACTGTATATCGACTGATATACACTGTGTGTAAGTAAATTTGTACTGTATATACCCTACAATAAACTCTGCATATAATCTGAAATGTAAAGTATAAAAATTTATATACACTGTATATCAACTGATTCACACTATATACATGCAGCTACATACTGTTTCTAAACTGATATAAACTGTATCTAAACAGATTCATACTGTGTATGAGAAGATATATACTGTGTAATCTGATTTATACTCCACAGCTGTCATTTTATATCGAGACTGAAAGTTACGTGTATGAATGTATATTAGCAGAGCAGAACTAAAACAAAATCCTCTCAGTTAAGCAACGACTCATAAGGCGATTAAGTACTGAAACAGATATATATAGTATATAACCTGATACAGACTGTATATAAACTGATATATACTGTATATAATCTGTCACAGACTGTATACAAACTGGCTTATAGTGTATATAACCTGATACAGACTGTATATAAACTGATATATACTGTATATAATCTGACACAGACTATATACAAACTGGTATATAGTGTTTCTAACCTGATACAGACTGTATATAGACTGATATATAGTGTATATAACCTGACACAGACTGTATATAAATGGTATATGCTTCATAGTACCAGATATACACTGTATATAACCTGTCCCAGACTTTATGCAAACTGGTGTATACTGAGTATAACCTGATGCAGGCTGTATATAAACTGATATAACTTGATAAAGATTGTTTATAAACTGATATTTAGTGTATATAACCTGATACAGTGTGTATAAACTGATATATACCTCCTTATATATCCTTAAATCCAAACTTGCGAGTGTCCACTTGAGTTCCCCTCACTGTCGAACGCTGCACTGGTCAGCTCTGGAACACTGACCTCTGTCAGTCTGCTGAAGACTCTCAGGCCGTGTGCTGACGCTCCTCCACAGCACTGATGTGTGTGCTGACGTCCTCAGAGCGTTCCTGAACGTTAAAGCAGCTCTGGCGCTGTT